CCGACGAGCATAAGCCTGGCGAGCACGTGCACGAGCAATGTGGCCGCACCTTTAAAACGCAGCCAGTATTTAGTCTCAAAATAAAGGTAGGACGATTACTAATGAATGATGAATTTCAAAGGATCTGGAAGGAAGCTGCTCTCGTGGCCTAATCCAAGTACTATCCCAACATTTGCCTGGAGGGAATGAGGAAATCCATGAACCCCCCCTATCATGATGACCTGTACCTCGGCCGGGATTCGAAACAAGAAAGACTACAGCGTCACCACTATGCCAAACATTGAGGTTTGTTTTTGTTCTTTGAAGAGGAAGTTTGATCAGTTTTCAGTCTGTAAATGTGTCCCTCCCTTTCTCTTTTCATATGTGCTGGATATTCTTTCGAAACATAATGTCCACTTTGACCGTGCCATAGCTCAGGTAGTTAGTCGCCTGCTTCCCACCGTGGCGGCCCGATTTCGAGTCCGGGTCAGGTAATGTGGGATTTGTGGTGGACAAAGTGGCACTGGGGCAGGGTTTCTTCGAGTACTTCGTTTTCCTCTGCTAATTAGTATTCGACCGGTCACTCCACAATCATCACCTATCATCTGGGGCTGGTACAGCAGCCCAAACAGTGGCCGCAGTACCATGTGGACTCAGTCTCACCCTACTTTAAAGCATATTTAGCTGTGAGTGAAGATGAGGCATAAATATGTGCACTTAAATACTCGCATGTGTATGTAAAGACTGCATCTTTCTCTGACCACGCAATACATGTCAGTTCTATTCTTTACTGATTTGAATCGCGATGCTGTATCAACTGTGCATGAATAGTTCAATGAGATATTATATGACGGGTGTGGGTAATGGGCTGATGAAATAAAGAAGGCTGTCGTCGCTCTCTTTTTCATCAATTTATTTTCTTGTGGGAAATAAACGTCTTTTTAATTTTCCGCTAAAATTTGAGCACTGGCGGGCAAGCCTTAAGGTCAGACTCAAACTAAACAAAACGAAACAACTTTCACATATAAGACTGACCTTCCCCAAGGGGTAAAGCGGCCGGGGCGTTATACTGACCACTCTTCTCCAACTAGGGCCGAGGTCAAGAAAATGTGGGTCTACTCCCGCATACGCCTTCATTTCATAGTGCTTAACTAGTTAAGCACGGGGACAACTTTACCTTTATATATTCCAGAGACGGAACTGCGTATGGTGCCCATAACTTACACAACAGACAGAACTCAATGCGCTTGCACATAAAATGTAATTAATGTATTGAAAATCCACCGACAAATCCGAGTTGATGTTGTGTTATTCTGAGGGATTAGGCTAGCATGCCATGAAGGAAACTTCCGAGGTGGTATGATGTGTTCGTAAAATCAACGGAAACCTTCTAATCCCTGCGAGATGGGTTTCTGAAATTTATTTCCCGTTCATCATTACCCAGCTACTGCGTTTTCCATTATCCTCATTTTCCAGCAACCATTTGTATAATCATGGCTCATCCTACTAGCTACATGAGTACATCCGAATTTTAATTCCCTTTGCTTCCATTTTCTGTTTCATTCCCTCTCAATAATCCTTTTCTCAATTCTGTCCCTTCTCTTTCTTTCAACAACCACCCCGAACCTTCCTCTTTCCAGCCTCTTCACACTCTGCAGGAAATTGTTTCCCCTCTATTTTAGGAGCAACTCAGCTTTTACAACTGCCGTTCCGTTGAACCGATTTCCCTTCTCCACCAACCACCCCTATTCTCTTCCCATCCTTTCTCGCTCTCTTTACCTTATTCTTAGGACGTATAAGACGTGATAAATTTAGTTTCCAGCACCCTTTATAAATCTGCAGGCTTTCGACTTGATTCAGCGTTCTGTAGACTATCCAGGTTGGAATGGGGTGTCTCAATGCAAAGTAGTTCATGTCATGATACACCTATTCAGGGGACGGTATTGCGGCAAGAACCGACCCTGAATTAAAACTCTTTCCATTTCTCTCGAAGCCGCAATGAAACAGGGAAGAAGACAGTGGCGAGGGATATTGAATCTCAGAGCGCGTAATCGTAGACACTGCGAGCACTGTGAGGCACTCCCAGGACGAAGGGGAGGGAATCTCTGTATGATGTCCCTAAACCACTTCTTGAAATATTGCTACACTAGGTAGTGCGCAATAGAAACAGTGGAGTAGCTAATAACATTTCTGCTTTCAGTGTGTGTGTGTGTGTGTGTGTGTGTGTGTGATGTTTCTTATTCACTATAGCAAATGACCTTCAGAGACATTGGCAACGTAACAAAGCCACAGAATTCAAGAGGCTAAAATTGATAAGACAATAAGAGCTTGACGAGGCATATACGTACATACGAATGATTCACGATGGGATTCGGTTGCAGGATCTGGTGAACAAAATGATTGAACTTCTCTCTGAAAATTTCTATCTTCGAGCCTGCTGCTTTCATGTTTAGTTTACTTTTAAACCTTGAAGAGAGAGGCGAAATGTTACTCCGAAACGTCAACCAAATTCCACCGGACTGCATGGCGCTGTATTATATGACAGGTATGTTCAGTCACCGATGTCAGAAGTTCAAATCCGACGAACGTTTCAGTCTGGTTCTTATTTTTCGACTCTGATGAGGGAGGCACTGCGTTGCTTCCAAACGTCTGTAAACTTTTGTCACACGGCGTCACATCCTAGAAGGCAATATTCTTCGCAGTAATGACAACTTTTGGTTCTATAAGGGGCGGGATATTTCTTGACTAGTTGAATGGCACAGAAAATCAGAAGCTACTGAGGGCGCAAGGCATGATACTGAGAACGCGTAATACATGCGTGCAGCTGTGGAAAAGGGAGACACTAAAATCAGGGGCGGTTATGTGAAAATTTTACAGCATTTCCCCGTTACATTGAAATGACCTCATATTCCTTGCGCGGGTTGAATAGCCGTTGGCCCAAGAGGTCGTAACATGTGGCAGTAGCCCAGCTCTCGACTACAGTGTGGCCCAACACAAAGAAACCAAAAATATAAAGTCGTTCTATATATTTTATTACACGTTTAGTCTACTTTCATTGCTTTATAAAAGAGAAATCGAGGCCGAAAAACTTCAGCGGCATATATAGAACGAATGGCGACATTAGTGATATACACAGTTTAATGGGGAAAACTGAAGGGACGAGACATGGGCGTAGGTGGGAGGCGAAGAGATCTTCAAGGGTACAACAGCCCACATCACTCAGTGCCAACATTGTCGTCACAGTGGTTTGACGACGTAGCTTCCTCTTGGCGGGTCTCGCATTCCAGCAAACTTATAAACTCGCGGTTATGATGGGACGAGGCAACTGCGCTGAGTTTCAGTTGACAATTTGCCAGGCAAAACTCAGGGAAGTGAGCCGTTGAACCTCAGGGTACAAGTACCGTGTGGTTCGGTAACCAAGGCGGGAAATCTCCCTTATACCACAATGATCGTAAAACGGACTGTATATTCATCAGATGACGGCGTTTTAGGACAGATGGTCATGAGAGGCACAAGGATATTGTGGGCGCGCATAACCACATTATTGAAGCGCCCCTAAACCCATTGCTACTTCAAAGATGCTGTTGGGTCTCCATATCATATTCCCGTGAAAACTATGGATCACAGCCACTTCTTCAAATTGACCACCGGAAAGCGCTCAGTTTACGAACTTAATATACTTATTAAGCTCAAATAAGGCCGTGCCATAGCTCAGGCTGTTAGTTGTCGGCTCCCTACTGCGGCGGCCCGGATTTGAGCCCGGGTCAGGTAATGTGGGATTTGTGGTGGACAAAATGGCACTGGGGCAGGTTTTTCCGAGTATTTCCGTTTCTCCTGCCAATCTTCATTCCAGCAATTACTCCACAATCACTATCATGTATCGTCTGGGTTCGGTACAATGGGACAGTAGTGGCCGCAGTGCCAAGTGAACTGAGTCTCACAAAAATAAAACTCCGTGGCATGTAGTCTGCAAGCGAAATATACCGACTGAGAGACCGCCGCTTGTCGGCGAAGTTAGTGCCAACTTTTGCGGAGAGAGGGTGTCACGTGGTGAGCGCAACGAATCCCCGCTGCCATTAATCTCGGGTTTCTAGACCGGAGCCGCTATTTCCTTCAAATAGCTTCTCAATTATCCTCACGAGGCTGAGTGGACCCCGTTCCAGACCCAGCACTTAATCTGGTAGCGCAGGGAACTGAACCCGGGACCTCTGGATCTGTAGGGAGGAACTCTGACCACTAGACCACAGAGGCGGTAACCCAGTCTCCCACCACTAAGAATAATAAAAGAATTCCAGTAACCCCTCTTACCCGTCCACTCTCACCTCTCCTCACCAAACGCCTCCCCTTCAGTTACCTTCCTCCAAAATATGTAAATTCTCTACTCAGGGACCGAAGTCATATATCAAGGGTGAGTGATTTCCTTCTGTTGCACTGATCTGCGGGAGACCTCCAGTTAATGGACTGGCGGTAGGGTTTGTGTTAAACCTTTCTCTTCACCATGCAAGAGGGGCCATGCTTCATTAGGTTCTCATTTTTGTTGGTTCTCTAGCAAGGTGCACCTATTAAATATTATAATTATTATATTACAATTATAAATTAAATAAGGCGATAATTGGACTTTACAAAGAGGACTGTGAGACTGTGGACTGTATTCGTCTCGTTCAAAACAGAATCTAGTGGCGGATTTGTGTGCAAATGAATCTTCTCGTTTCATAAATGACCTGGAAGTTTCTTGGTCCCCGTAGCAGCTAACGGCTGCATCATAAACATTCTGGAGACGTTGTTAGTCTCTCAAATCCTACCCATGGGCCAAGCCAAACTTAGCTTCCTATATCTCTACAATATTAGGTGACCTGCACAACTAGTTTCCTGTTAATGTAAATTACATTTTTCTTCCCGGATTCCAGTATTCTTCTTGAGCTCTTTACTTGGACACACAAACGCTGTAAAGGAAACTAATATACTTTTGCAATGAGTAAACGCAAATCTGCGAGGCAAGTATCGACTTCCGCATCACATACCTCGCACGACGAGTCTGACCGGTGATGACGTCAGGGCGTCTTGGGTTGTGAAGTCAGAGGCCGTCACCTGGCACTCCCATTCACCGTCGTCAAACTCCAGTGTGGCAGCCCTCACCCAGAGACTGCAGTCACCGGACTCCTGAATTCCCGCCCACTCATACTTCTTGGGGTATATTCCAACTGGCTGCAACAGAAGATTGTGGTTTGTATTGTGATCCCTGGTCCTTCGTGTTCCGTTCTGAATCGGATACATGCCTAAGCCGTTTCACAAGCACTCCAAGGAATCTGACTATTCTGGAAGAAAAGAAAAATACTACAAGTGCATCCAGTAAAGTCTGGAACATAAAGACTATAAATGCTGGGATTCCTAGACTTTGGTTGCAGAGTTACCGAGGATTAATATTACGAAGCATTCGATTGCAGTAACCGAGAGGTTTAAGCGGCGCAGTACCTCGGATAGTTTCAGTAGTAGTTTCGAATGTCCTCAAAGCATGGCTGTAGGTGCGTGGCTGCGTTGTGTTGCTGTCCTGTGTAAGTATAGTCCGTACTATGGGCAGATCACCCGGCCTGTGAGTCCTGCCAAACGTCTAGAAGATAATGTTGTATTTTAGCGTCCTGTTGCACTGATCCTCGTCCATGATATGTAAGCAGTGTCCGTCTTTTAGTGCACTCAATTTTATTTGTTACTTAACAAGTGGTGCGTGGTGTTAGAATTGGGACAGATAAGATAAATAATCTTAACAAGTTTTTAGTATATATATATATGTATATATATTTATTATAATTGACGAACATTTTAAAATACTTTTTAAATTTTACAAATACGTGATGGCAAGCAATGAAATAGATTGACGTAAATGGAGCACCTGATGATGGCACTGTAGTGCCGAAACATGTTGTGAAGTAACAAGTAAAATTGAGTGCACTAAAAGACGGACACTGCTTACATATCATGGTCTAGAAGATAATTCCGCATTGAAACTTATTAAGGGTCCTAATCCCTGAAACCCTATGATAGGGAACAAACGACACTGTTTTAGCTACAGAACTGATAGAGCCTAACGAGGCATGATAATGAACACTGGAAAGTAGGAAAAGCTTTCGAAGGAAGCGGTTGTTGCCTGTTTCGATATACTATCCAAGTATTCTCTTGGAGAGTCTCAGAGAAACTATTAAAGAGTTCGGTGATGGCAGGCGAGGTTCGAGCCTGGTATTTACAGAATATAATTTTACATTGCTACTATAACACCAGTATTTTAGGCATTAGTAAGAAGTGAACCTAGATGCTTGAGGAAAACGCAGGGGAAAATAACCCCCCCCCCCTGGCACTACAGCCCCAGTGGGCCTAGGCCTACCTCCATGAACTTCTCCGTTCACTTCGGTTTTTCTAGATCTTACACATTCGGTAGGACTCCTTGGGCGAGTGATCAGCTCGTCGCAAGGGGAAAATAAGACCACACAGATGGAAATTTTACCTCAACATAGTGGACAAATATTTTCCACACGTGTGCTTTGTAATTTTGGCATCTCATTGGCACTGGTGCTAATTTATCCCAGACGGAGAGCTGTCGGAACAAAACTAATACCTCTACGGATATCGTACCCCGCAGAGTCTGCAAATGAGTGTCCTTGTGTTTCGTTATGTATTTATCATATCTAAAATATTGTTTTCTTTTCACTGGCTCTACAGCCCCCTTGGGCGATGGCCTTTGATTTTTCTGTTTCATGATCATTTTACAGACGGTAGGACTCATTGGACGGGTGATCAGCTCGTCGCAAGGCCTCTACCTAAATACAGGACAACACGAACATATAATTAACACATACATAAACCAAACATCGATGCCTTGTGTGGGATTTGAATCCATGACCTCGTCTTCCAAGCGAGCGCAGACAGTACATACCTTAGACCGCTAGGCTACCGTGACCGGCTCATCTAAAATATTACAAATAAGAATTGTAAACATTAATAAGTTCTGCATTGTTTTCAATGAAATGGTAATATTCGATTGAATTTCCACGCACTGAAAAATTGCGTTCGAGTAAGCGTTTCCATTGCCGGTCACGATAGCCGAACGGCCTAAGACATGCACTGTCTTCGCTCGCTCGGAAACCGGGATCGTGGGTTCGAATCCTACTCAGGGCATGGATGTTTATATGCGTTTTTCTGTGTTTGTGTACAGGTAGAGGCCTTGCGACGAGCTGATCACCCGCCCAAGGAGTCCTACCATATCTAAGCTCTAGTAAAACCGAAGTGAACGAAAATTTTCATGGAGGTAGGCCTAGGCCCAAATGAGGGCTGTAGCGCCAGTGAAAGAAAAAAGCATTTCCATTGCATAGGCCTAATCTAACTAACAATTTTACTTGAAATTGGTTATTTTAAGAGATTTAGGCTTAATAGTGGACAATGAGTTGGACGAATGACTACGATACTTCTGTCTGATTTATTTTTATGAAAATAACGTTTAGAAACAGAAAAAGATTTTTCAGAGAATGACAGTTCCTCGTAGAAATCTGAACAGATGATGATGATGATGATGATAATGGTGCCTGCGACAAGTGAGTATGTATGGCACATCACAGATTAGGCACGTTATGCCTGATGTTCAGGATTTCAGTAAGCAATATACTACGAACACTGTCACATTCATAACAACAGGCTCACATCTAATTCTGCTAATTATCATCTACTAGACTTCTTGCACGATAAAGACAAATGCATTTGCTACATCCCCAATTAGGACAACCCCCCACTGATTCTTCTACCCAGAATATATTCCAACCCTCCATATAACCCATCTCTCTATATATCTAATTGCAGAAATGTAAAAGCACTATGACCCACTTTGGGTATATATATATATATAGTCAGAATTACTTTGACAAAATAATTAGATTTTCTTGATACTGCATAAATCCGGAAGTAATCCGTTTTAAATTAACATGGTTTTAGCAGGTCCCTTTTCAGTGATGAAACGGCACGCCCTCATCAGATGTCACTGAAGCTTAACAACTAATGCATTAATAATTACAGCAGTAGAATCTGTAGTGGAAATTTTCGATATTGTCCGAAGTTACCGGGATCGTAGGCTACTGTCATGGGACTTGCATCCGTAATGATGACCGCTGATGGTCGTTTCATTCGTAACGTGTGAAATGACTGTAACAGTTCATATAAAATCATTCTGATGTTTGAAAAATAAAGAGCCATATTAATTAAATCAATTTAATTATTCGCCAATCAAAACAAATACAGTCTATTTGTTCATGAGTTCATACGAACAAATTAACATGTTATTATCATTTTTATGTAACGAAGAGCAGCGAACCAGTTACCTGACTCCAAAGCCACAGTTTAATGACTGTCACTCCCTATCTATGGCTCTGCAGTCCTCTGTTGGGCCTTGACCCGCTTTTCAGTTTCTTAATTCTATGCACAGTCGTTAGGACCCCTTTCAAGGGGCATCAGCCCTTCGCGAAGCCTCTACCTATACACAGACCATAAACATAAACATAGAATAAACGCACACAGTCATCCATGCCTCGAGTGGAATTCGAACCCACGATACCAGTGTTCGAGTGGGCCACTGTGATCACTTCATGAGTGTCAACACTCCTTCATATTCGTGAGGTTTCGAATCCTAAACTGAGTTGAAACATGAATTTCTGATGTAGATTTTTCATGGGTTTCCTCAGTTCCTTATAAGAAAAATTTCGAGGATAAAACATAACACCATGATGGATTCATACCCATCTGAAGCCATGTAATAATGCATAATCTTGTCATTTTATGTTTTAAAACTAAACAGCTGAGAGACAATTGTCGATTGCACAAAACAAACAAAGAGCAAAAATAAGTAACTAACCTTCAAAATACTTATATAGCAGTAGATGTCTGGCGTAATAGGAGGTTAGAAGTTTATTTTCAGAATGTTCGGTTTCAAAGAGCTCTGCACCAAGATGAGAACACATACAGCAAGTGAACATAAACCTGTTCCTTTTAATAATTTTTTCCTTGGCACTACAGCCCTAGTGGGCCTAGGTCTACCTCCATGAACTTCTCCGTTCACTTTCGGTTTTTCTAGATCTTCCACATTCAGTAGGACTCCTTGGGCGGGTGATCAGCTCGTCGCAAGGCCTCTACCTGTACACAAACATAGGAAAACGCACACACACACAAACTAAACATCCTTGCCCTGAGTGGGATTCGAACCCACGATCCCGGCTTCAGAGCGAGCGAAGACAGTACATGCCTTAGACCGCTCGGCTACCGTGATCGGCCCTTTTAATATTAGGGCTGGCATTTTATTTCTGGAAAATTGGAAATCCTGAAAACGGACGAGGATATTAATCGCTCAATCGTCAAGTAAGGCTGCGGCATTTGACTGGAAGGTCAGAGTAAAATTAGGAAATTTATATTTCTGTACGTTAATTCCTGTCTCTAGAGGATTAGCCTATAAATTACGTAGGAGAATCTCGAGGACCTAAGCTTTATTAACAAACTCAGTTTTTGTTACTTAGAATTGCAAAGAATTGTATACAGATATTTCAGTTACGGAGGATTATACTTCTTCATTTTGAAAATGAATTTAAAGTAGAAGAGAGATTTATTGAAAATTTTCGAGTCAAAGTTAGAATTTTTTACCAAACTGTACGAATTTTAAAACTCTCTCAACATCTATAATATTGATTTTCATCGATAATTTGTTAAACAAAATTAATACCTGGTAATACCGAAAAAAAACTTAAATTATCATACGTGTTTATGTTTCTATACCGACAGCCATGTAGATACCAAAGTTTTCTTACTAATGAAACTTCATTATCTTTTTTTTTTTTTTTGGATAAGCTTATATATAAACATTTATGTATTCATAAAGTATATTTTTAACGTTAAAACGACGGAAGCAGAGGCCATCTGGAGGCAATGCATACATTTTAACGAAAAGCCTTCACTCTGCTCCACTTTTTAGTTACAATTTAAACTCGGTTTCCAACTCTGCTGTTGGCGAGAGAGGATAGTTAGTTAACACATACCAGGCACCCCACCACACACACCCGGGACTGGTACGCGACTATGTTACGGAGCAATATTGATTGTCGATGGCAGTCGAAAAGGTGGGAACTTACCCCTATCTGACACCATTAGCGTGTTGCGTTTCGAATGAAAACGTTACACGTAGAATCAGATGTGTATGTTGCTACTGCAATAAAATGGCACATCTGATGATGTGCGAAAGGCAGGACCGGAAA